AGAGTATTGCACAGACCGACTGCTTCCATGGAACATGAATATAAAACTGTGTTTTTAGACGACCTCACCTGAGATACAGAGCAGCTAGACCAAAAGAATAATCAAATATATTAATGACGATATTTCCATCAGCTGTTTTTTCCCCCCATATTTGATCATCCATAGCATACATGCATTTTCTTTGGCAGGCGTCATATATGTGCGCGACACAACCCGTGGAGGACTCTGCTCATATCCTGTTTTTAACAACGGCATCAACGGGGCGTTCTGCAGAACAGAGGCTGGTCAGACGGCCGCCATCATCTTCCTGTTTGTCACCATGGTCATTTATCTGATTGGAGCCATTGTGTGTCTCAAGCTGTGGAGACATGAAGCTGTACGCAGATATAGGGAGAAGTACGGCTGCGAGGTAAGATCTCAGCCAGAGACTTTTCTTCAATCACTGCAAAGGCTCTTGGAATTTCTTTGGATTTAATTCTAGAATTCTCCCAACTCTTTTTGTACAATGACTATGATGCTCTTTCTGTTCTAAAATTATAATCATTAAATTATATTGATATGTCAGACTCACGCACAGCCTTGTTTATTAAGGATTTATTGGTGGATTCACTGTGTTGCACAACTGCCACCTACTGGGTCATTTTGTAAAACTTGTTTTTAGCTTCAATCAACCAAGTGACATTTTAATTGCACAGAGGTCATTCTTAATCAGGTAATTTATAATTCAGGTTTTACTTTGTGTTTTTCCTCCACAGATGTTGTCCACTGAGAGGCCAGCTGCTCATCCATTAGTAAGTGTCCTGTGTCTCTAATATTTCTACACTGTCAAATCAGACCAGTGTTTACACAGCATGAAGGTGACACTGGTTTCCCAAACCTTGTCTCAAAGACTACTTTTGGACACTTGTCACAACAGGTTCCGGCTCCGGCTCTGGCTCCGGCTCCAGTTCAGGTCCAAGGGTCTTCAGTGGTTCCCATCCATGGTGTTCCCAAAGCAGTGCCAGCAAAAGTTTTACAGGGAGCTATTCCATCAGGCCACATTCCAAAACCTGTCATCGTTCCTGACTACATCGCGTAAGTGATCCCAAAAAAAGAACGTGACTTGACACGGCTGGTCGTCATTATTACAGTCATTGCCTGTTTGAATGACTGACCACAGCTTTAGGTCTAGGTTTACTTTTACTGAGCGTTTAATGTCAAAAATAACTCTTAGGATTATAAGATTGGACTGTGAAGTTGATTTAGTGTTTTTTTTTCTTTTGTTTTTTTTAAATAAAACACATATTGTGATGCAGGCTGTACATATTCTGTGAATTACTGCTTGGTATTTTACTGTCCAGCACACACGACAATTAGTTTCGGATCCACATTAAGTGAAAAAAAATAAATTAATAAATACAAGTACATGTTCATTAATTTCATTCATCTACTTATTTATTATACATTCACCCTTACTTTGCTTCTAAAATCGATCTAGTCCATTGTTATTGATCAGCTTTTGTTTATTTCACTCATTTCTTTGGTATTTATTAAAGGCAGTATTTTGTGACTCTTTCCTTCTGAAACTACAGTAAATACCCAACGATAAAGACCGATGAGGAGCGAGACCAGTACAGAGCCGTGTTCAACGACCAGTACGCCGAGTACAAAGAGCTCCACTCTGAGGTGCAGTCTACGATGAAGAAGTTTGATGAGATGGACGCCATGATGAACAGTCTGCCCCAACACGCCTCCAGCCACATGGTGACTGATTACATTTAAATGCATGATTGTTTACGCAACAGTGTGTAACAGCAGCTGCAAGGTCTGTCGTGGTAAGGAAACACCGCGATATCTAGAAGCTGCACAGCATACGTTCTCAGTGCCAACAGTGATGTCACCAGCCACAGAACAAAACGCTTGGAGACCTGCTGACGTCACAGACAACCACGTTTTCAGATAGTTCGCGTAGCAGCCGTGTGATGACGTGGTGTTGATCAGAGGGCTGACCATTGTGGAGATCGTTCACAAATCAGCTGTTGCAGTTGTCATATTCGCTCTCGATCACGCTGAGAGAATGACGTCACATCAACTCCATCAGTGTTTGACTTCATGCAACATCTGAGGAAGTGCTTCTTCTGCTTACACTGCCCCCTGTCTTTGTTGTCCTGGTTGACCTAATTTCCTTTATTCATAACTTCCTCTGTTTGCACTTCCTTTTCCCTCTCAACCCCCCGACCCCACCCCCCACCTTAACATTGTTTATCCATTCACTGACCTGATCATTTTTATGTATTTCATGTCCAACTTCATCAGTTTGCAGCTATTTTTTCATTTGTGTCCAACTTAATGCAACTCTGTGTGTTCTTTTGTTGTTACAGGAGGTTGATCGCATTAACAGAATTCTTCAAGAATACCAGAGAAAAAAGAAAGTGAGTCCATTTTGTGGTTCGTTCTCCATTTAATAGAAACTCAATCTCTCCGCTCTCTTTGTTTGTTTGTTTTTTACATGGGCTGGTCTGTATTCAGTTGTTCCGGTTTCAGTGTGGGAAATGTTTCCTGTTATTGAATCTTATTTTATCTTTCTAAGAAATAGTGCGATTTATACAGAGATCAGTACAAGCCAGGGATTTATGATATATACACAATAAAAACCACTGTTAACACTGCCGTAACATTTAAAAAAAAAATCTTTAGTTGTTTAGAATGCTTATAAAACACTAAAAAGTAAATTACAGTAATAAAAGATAAATAATCAATATATTCATTTTTTTTAAACAGTGCTAAACTTTAACTTTAACTGCGTTATAGTGTCAGATTTTAATTATAACAGAACTTTGTAAGTAATAATAATACTGCAATTACCACCATTTGTAAAATATCAAAATAAAAATAAAAGCTAACTATAATGATTGTTCCTGTATTTCTGTAACTTTCTTCCAGGATCCAACATTTCTGGAGAAGAAAGAGCGATGTGACTACCTGAAGAACAAACTGTCTCACATCAAACAGAAGATCCAAGAATATGACAAAGTCATGGAGTGGAACGACGGCTACGGCTAGACCGCAGTAGCACCTTCCCTCCACAGCACTACCGTTACAGACATATATTCACAATTATGCCAGTAATGATGCTGAAGATCACATTTCCAACACTGAAGCACCACATTTACAGTCCACTGTGTTTGTTTTAATATAACAGTGACTCTCATCTCATCATACAGAAAAGCTGTTTGAAAAATACATATCCTAGACCAGACATCTGCCACATATTAATTTGTAACACTAACAACAAGATCCACCGTCTGCTTTCAAAGAAATGGGTGGAAAAACGTGAATCCACTACATCCAACGATACTAGCAACGATGTATATAAATTAAAGCAAAAAAAAGTCACTACGTTGAGCTCCGAAACTGCTGCAAACGATCCCCTCCAATCAGTTGTTAATGTTAATGTGTCTTTTTTAGCTGTAGCGTCTGATTATGTTAATATGTTAATGACTGTGAAATATGTTTCATTGAACCATCAGTGGTGAAATTAGTGAATCTGGTAAAAGAAAAAACATCAACAACAGCTTATTGTCTTTTACCCCAGTGATGTTTTTTTTACCTGTGGCTTTAATTGAAACTAGTTATAAATGTCTGTTGTTTTATTGTATTTCTGTGTTTAACAAAGCCCACATTTACAACCACAGTGGTGGGTGTTTTCAGCTTACATTAATAACATTGATTGACCTTCCTGGTGGAGTGGAGCTGTGGACAATGCTAACTCATTCATTCTTTGTGATGGTAACATTGTTTGCTTTGGGTTTGCTCATTCTTGGAACTATCCCGTAGCACTTCCCCTAAGGTTAAAGATCCCTCCTTACACTTCACCCTGCGCCTCTACCTCAACCTGATGTGTAAACACTTCACCTACTGTACATTTGAATCTCCCACGTTGCTGTTGCTAGAGGTAGAGCTGAGGGTGAATTGAGTTTCTTTAAAGAGATACCCTTTTTAAGGATTGTTTTTTTTTGTACAAATAATTAATGTTGTTGAATGAAAATGTCAACGTGCACCTTTGTCTAAAAACATGTAAAATGTGCTGCATTTTTTATGGTTTTTGGTCTTTATGTTAACCAGGAAAGCAAGCTAGCTGTGTCCCAAAACATCAAGTTATACCCGTACACTGGACTGAGTGTGTTTTCTGTGTGTATGTAAAACTGTAACCACAGAAGCTAAAGTTAACCACGTTATCTCTGACATTACTGGTGTCAGATGTGAATGTTTTTCCCTGTACTTAATAGGAGTGCTGCAGGTTTACGTTTGGTCCTGGTTCACCTTTTAAAATATTATTACCTTTCTGTTGTTTGTGTTATTTGTCACATGTCCACATAAATTTCACATTATCAATCCTTAAAAATACCACTACTCGCTTGGAAGAGAGATGATTGGTTTTAATTGCAAGCATTTGTTTGTAACGTGCAGCTGAATCTAAAAATCTACATGTACAATGTTGTGTTTTTTGTTTTGACACTGTTTGCATTTCACTGAGTAACTTTTTTTTACTTTATTGTTACATGGGATTCCTCAATTGCAAATATATATTTACGCCCATGCTTTTTTCATACCAAACTAATCAGCTAAATGGAAATGCTGAATTTAATTTTTCCATTGTCTTTTATAAGTAACTGGAACTGTAAGTAATTGACTCTACGTGTCCATTTACTTTCATAATTTAAATGTTTGGTGCTTCCTGGTTTGAATACAATTCTGCCTGTATGAAAGTTGAGTGTGTGGTTTTTATTTTGCTCATTTCATTGTAACTGTAACATTTTTAAACGACTCTTTATATGAGGTGTTAATGCACTCCTGTTTATTTATGAAGTCTTATACCTACGATCTTAACCTTAATTGATTTATCATGAGGGCCCCGTAAAACAGAAGACGGAAGAGAAAGACGATAATTAAAAAACAGTGACAACCAAAATAAAACTAAAACAATTTCTTCACCTATTATAAACGTCAGATTAACCTTAGATGTATTGTTTATACAGATGAACGATGTAGTAGTTTATCGTATTTAGCTTTAATGACGTTTAACAATACGTCACTCCGCAAAAAAGATCTCGAGACGAACGAAGAATTCCACGGCGATTTCCTCTTCCTGTGTGCGCTTGGTAATGTAACACCTGTGTGGTTCAGAGGGGCGGGGCAAGATCCCGACTGGGTGTGGCCGGACTTGGGCGATGTGTTGTGAGCTGCGGTTTCAGTCGACTGGGCTTTATGCAGGTGTGACGGGGCTACGACGGAGACAGGTGAGTTATTTCCTTAATCTACTGTATTTAATTTTAAATGTTGTTGTTTTTTTTTTACCTCTGTCTTTATCTGTATTAATTTTAAGAGTTTTATAAACTGGTCCACTGTTGTAGCACCAGGTAACAGGTGTGTTGTTCGATACCACTTCAATGATAATTTCCTGCTGCCTTTAACTTTAGTGTGATTTGGTAAAAGAAAACAACTCTTCTTCAGGTCAAGTCTCTAGGTGTCAAAGAAAACGTCATTGTATCGTTTATCAACCCTATAACTTTAGACAGTAACAATAGGTCTCTTTTTGTCGTTCGTGAACGAGGATAACGCTGAAACCGACGGTTGTAATTTATGTAGAAGGCAAGTTACAAAAGTTATCGAGTTTTATCGATTTAATTTGACTACTTGAAAATAATAAATGAATAAAACGAATTATTTATAATACATACTGTACACGTCTATAAATGTTTGTGTACAACGTAGTACGTGTATATAATTTGTACACGTTTTTATACGACCAACAGTATGTATACTGGGAAAATGAGAGGGAAAAAAAGAGCACAGTAGAGGTTTCACATTTTAAACCAAGAAGATATTTAACAGATATCAACCTTTTGTGCCTCTGAAGCTTTGTGTGTCAAAAAAGAGGGATAGATGAACTGAATAATAACACTGTAGCATCTCTTAAATGTTAATCCTTCCAGTGATTTTAAACATTTAAAGCATAACTCTCAGTAAAATATATATGCTGTAGAATTGTCTATTTCTGCCTTTGTATATTTTAAAAAGGCTGTTGGACAAAATAAATTCCATATGTTGCTAAGGTTTATTTTTAAACAAAGAAACGTGAATGTAATTATAAAAATCTTGCTTCTTGTTTTTCAGGCCAGCTGTAACCACAGTGAATCCAGAAGCAATGTCATCGAGACCTAACGGGAGTCCGCCTCCCTACGAGGCAGATGGATAGTAAGTATCTTTACTTAGGATTTTACTGAACAATTACGATGCTAGGTTAACACAAAACCAAATGTCTTGGAATGAACGTAACAACAAGGTGTTATATCAATTCACACCTGCCTAACCCACTCTCCCAGCCATCAGAGAGTCATTTCAACAACAGATACAACATCAGATTAAGTCTGTTATTAATTGTTCCATGATGGTTGAAGTGTACAGTCCTGAAATTGTTTTTCTTTTCTTTATAGTAATGAGCCCCCTCAGCCTGCCTATTCCTACTACCCAGATGATGAGTTCCAACATTTTTACCGCTGGGCATCTCCACCAGGCATTCTTAAAATCATGGCCATTATCGCTATTGTTATGTGCGTTGCCATATTTGCTTGTGTGGCCTCAACGCTGGCCTGGGACACTCAGGGAGGCCTGTCTGGGTTTGGTGGAATGGGATATGGCACGGGATATGGAAGTGGGTACAGTTCTGGGTACAATCCTGGGTATGGCTCTTATGGAGGCGGTGCGTATGGAGCTGGGAACAACTACGGCTACGGAAACATTGGAGGAAACTACAATGACCCCCGGGCAGGCAAAGGGTTCATCATTGCCATGGCGGCCATCACGTTCATTGTGTGTCTGGTCATCTTCATCATCGTTGTGTCCCACCAAAGCCTTTCTGAGAGCAGGAGGTTCTACCTGGCAGTTGTAATCATCTGTGCCATCCTCGCACTGCTGGTGCTGATTGCCTCCATAGTGTACTTGATGGCCGTGAACCCCACGGCCCAATCTTCTGGTTCCATCTACGCTGCCCAGATTGCTGGACTGTGTGCCCAGTACCAACACCCACAGCCATCAGGGGTGTTTGTCAACCAATACCTGTACCACTACTGTGTGGTGGAACCACAGGAGGTGAGAACTTTGTTACATGTCACTCCTTTTTATCTTAACAGGGAGACCTCCAGTAGTTTTTAGTTTTTTACTGTTAACCACTTGTCCTCTTGTTTCAGGCCATTGCTGTGGTCTTTGGCTTCTTGGTGGCCATCGCTCTGATCATAATGCTTGTCTTTGCACTGAAGACACGACAGAAAATGGGAAACTATGGCAAGAGCAACATTCTGTGGAAGAAAGTTAAGGTCATCGATGACCTGGCGCCACCTCAGGATGTAGAGGACTGGGTATGTAATGTTTTAACATGCAGTATGAAGCAGAGCAGAACAGAAAATATTCATCAAAATATCCATCCATCCATTTTCATCCGCTTATCTGTTACCGGGTCGCGGGGGCAGCAGTCGCCACCCAAATCACACTGCACCGTACCAACCCCCCCTGAACCTTCCTGTGGGTGGTGGGTCCACTGGAAGGTACCAACCGCCCCGACCGGGATTCGATCTAAACCAGGAGGTCAAACCAGGGGGTCCACACCAATGACAGAGACATTGCCTTCATCAAAATATATTACCATATAATATTTTATCTTTAACCTTAGTTTATTTTTTTGGTAAATATTTTGTGGATGTGGGAATGGTTGATGATGTTTAGTTCTTTGGTCCAACCTACAGCCCATAACTTGGCTATGAAAGCAACAGAAACAGTTAATCCAGACAATTAGAATGTCACAAAAACCTGAGCTGTGAAATCTATTACTTCTAATAGCAAGTGAAACCAGGCTGTTACACTGTTATTGTTTAGTGAGGTTGAGGTTCAGCCAAGAAAAAAAAAATGCTAGAGGAAATTAAAATAGAAAATCTAGAACTAATGGTTGAGACCATCAGGGTAATATTAATGTCCCTGTCGAGGAACGTCACTACTAGAATTTTTTTTCTGGATCACTGACTAGTATTTTACCAGAGTAAACAAAATCATATGACTCAGTAGTATATGACTTATATAAGTATATGATTAACATGACATATATGGATGTAAATGGTCAGTCGCTCCTACTCTGTACAGAGTCGGCTTGGCTCCATGTACATGTTCCAACAGGCTGAAGTATGTTATATTTATACTACAGTTATATGGTTTATGTAGTTCCCTCTTGAGAGGAGGATATTTAAGTTTAAGTGGATATATAAGTGTCCCCAATGAAAATATCTTTCAGTTACAGTAAATGTAATTTAAAAACTAGCTGCATATTATTATTAACCAACCAGTAGATTATTTAGTTCTAAAATGAAGACCGAGGTGAAACCCTGAAGGGAGTCACTTAAATCATGACCAGACGTCTTTGCTTACTCCTGCTTTGTTTTCAGATTCAGTAAAAATTCCTGTGTGTGTGGTTGGAAGTCAACACAAGTTACTCGACCAGTTTTTGGGTGGGGGAGGGGCTTATAGAGCAGCCAACTTCTCTGTACAGGGCCAGGTTTCAGGGTGTGGTCTGCACTCCAGGAGTTTCAATCTCGTGCCTGTGTCACAGTGTCCCCGTCCTCTGGTGATTGAAATCTAGTTTCATTTTATGATGATTCATGCTCACTAAAAGCTTTTTTCAGCGTGGTGTTTGCAGTAACAACATATTTTGCAGCAGATAGTGAGTGACAGATAGTGAGTCACAGTGAGAGCAGTTAGAAGTTGTGATGACACTGGGTTCAGCCATGTCCCTGCAGCAGTGAAGAAGCAGAGCAGGTCGGACTGGCTCGTGATGCAGTGCACTGACAACAGAGCGGGAGAAACATGACACTGGGAACCAAAGATATGTTGCTTCGCTGCAGCCTGTGAGGACACGACTGAAAGTGCTGAGGTGGTTGGACTGAGGTGCCCCGCAGTGCATGTATGTAGAGCTGTTGGTGTGGGACAGGACGGTGTGTTGAGCAGCAGGCTGTAGCTCGGTCCTGGTCCCAATGTTTAGACGACAAGTTCATGCAGGCTGTTCATACCAGACACCATGGAGTTTGTTTGTGTTTTTCAGAGCAGGTCACATGTTGACTCTCACTGTTGTCTTTTACAGAGCAGTGTTTTCCGTGGGTCAAGAAGTGCTCAGCACAAAAGTCTAAAGTACTTACCTTAATTTCTTTTTTTTTTTTTAAATGTGGCGCTTTGGCCCAGAGGCAGTGTCTCTGTCATTAGTGTGATCGAATCCCAGTTAGGGCGGTTGGTACCTTCCAGTGGACTCACCACCCGCAGGAAGGTTCGGGGCGTTGGTACGGTGCAGTGTGATTTGGGTGGCGGTCATGGAGACTGCTGCCCCCCGCGACCAATTAATGGATAAGCAGATATGGATGGGTGTTTTTTTTTTTTTTTTCAATTTATGTCACTTTACTACACAATGACAAAACATATACAGTATAATTATTAAAGAGTCTGGGTATTTTCTGTCTGAGTATGAATCTGAATAAAACTCAACAGGGAGTCTAACACTGTCGCTGTTCACTGACAAACTCTGTGACCTGGTTCATAGTAATGTTTGCCGTACGGTTTGTTTGTATTAATTTAAATATGTGCTTATGAGTATTTTTTTTTGTCTCTGTCTTTTGAAGGTCAACAATGTGTCTGTTCCTGTGGAGGAGCTGCCAATGTCAGCATACCCTGAGAAGCTGAGGAGCTCCAGGAGCCACTTAGATGATGAGAGCACCAACTATGACAAACCACCGTACAGCTACAGCCCACAGTGAGTTTCAAAGTAGCACCGATGGCGTCGGTACTTGAGAATAAGTACAAATACCTACTTTATAGACTGTAGTTGACCTGCCTTTAACTAGTCAAAGGATGAGAACCAAGATATAAACAGTATGGGTTTTTTGAATTAATTTTCTTAATTTTCAGTTGCATGATATGACCTGCAGCAGTCATTACCAAGTATAGGTATTGGTTCTGGGATGTTCCTATCCTCGCAGCTCTTTGCTTAAAAAGTTGAACCTAATTTTAAATAAGTATTCAAAAATGGATTTCTCTATCACATCTGAAATGAGTCGAGGTGACGAAAACAAAGGTTTTTAATGCAGTTGTTCATTAAGGACCGAGGTCACATGTTCATACCTCTACCAAATTTAACAATGCACTGTGATTGACATGTTCCCGCCAGAGGATGAAAAGTCTGTCAACGTCACAGTCGAGGAGGATGTTACAGTTACAGAAACAAAAACACACACATGCACCAAACATGTGCTGCTCAGTGAAATAATTGAAACAATCCAGTGTTTAGTCGTTGACCTTCTAACATTCAGCATGCCTTTTCATACCTGTCCACTTAGCACAGACAACTGCTCTCTTTTCATCATGGTGTCTTTTTTTTACCTGCATCATTTCAGGGTACAGTATATGAGTGAGCATACACTGCAGCAGACCATCGCATTGGCTGTTGGTAGCCAGTGGTCGTCTTGGTAACAACATCAGCCTTTGAAAGGACTGAACAGCTTCTCAGACGTACAGTGAACAGTTGTTCACCTGGGACAAATACCTGAGGCCCATCAGAACGACTGGGGCGTAGAAAATCTCAGACTAGTTTAGACTGTATTTTTTTATTGAAACGAAACGAAAGATTTGCAAAATATTATTTCATATAAAACACATTTGTTACTTTTAACACTTTCCATAGTACTGTAAATCTTACATACAGTACTAATAACTGAGTCCCTTATTCACATACCCACAATGAGGACATCTGTAGTTTGAGTCTGTGCAACCAATACAGACTGGTCTTACTATTGAGGAATCGAACCCCAGTCTACCACATGACAGGCAGGGATACTCACCACTATACTAATGAGGAGCTAAATGAAATGTTACTTAATGCATTGCAAATGTTACACAGTACCTAGTACTGTATAGTAAATGCTACAAGTACTACTGTATATGTAGCATTTCGAGTACTGTGTAAAGCTAAATGCTACATGCTTGTGTATTATTCTGATCTCTCCTGGTTCTAATAAAGTGGACTTCATTGCCTTTGCTGTGTTGTTGTCCTACAGGCCTCCAGTAGAGAACGACGTGCCTTTGTACAGTGGAGCCCCCTACAGTAATACCTCTGAGGTGTCCAGCTCAACTGGTCATCCCAAGAAGAGACGCGCAGGTCGTCCTCGTCGAGCTAACGGACAGGACTACGACACAGACTATAACTCATCAGGAGATGAGCTGGATGACAACGACTTTGACAGGTACAGACTACTCACTAAAACAAAATGTTCAGCGTTGATGTCTGCGGATGGTCTTGTGTCAAGTCGCCGTCCGTTCCTTTGTCCCCAGTGAGTTTCCCCCAATAAGAGATGAGGCGGAGCGAGCTCACTACAAACGGGTATTTGACAACGAACACCTGGTGTACAAGGAGCTGCAGGCCGAGATGGATGCTGTCAATAAGAAGCTGTCGGATGTGGACAGAGAACTGGATGAGCTGGAGGAAGGAAGTCCTGCATTCCTGGTAAGAGTTTACTGTCCAAACATCAGTCTGTTACTGTTTTAAGTCCAAAATATAAAGGAAATGTCTTGTCAGTGCTCCATGAAACACTCTGAATACTATGTATAGTACTGCAAATGTCCATATACAGTAGTACAGTAAATGCTACATGAAAAACTCTAAATGCTACATATAGTACTTAATAGTGCTATCAATGGTACTGTAAATGCCACTATAGTAATATCATTTGCAGTACTATAGGATACAGGGTACAGGATAATACTCATAGTACTGCAAATACTACATCTATACTATAAACGTACATCTGTACTGTAAATGTTAATATAGTACCGTGAATGCATCCATAGTACTGTAAACGCTACATATACTGCAAATACTATGTACAGTATAGTACTGTATGAGAAATTGTATTTTCTCTTTCATTCTACGACAGGATGCTATGGACGAGTACAACAGGATAAAGATGCTTAAAAAGGTACGTTCTCCTGCGTTGTTTTTGTTTCATACAGACGTTCTGTCTCAGGTGAGCTCTCTGATGTCCTACATCAACCACAGACCAACAGGACGGTTTCTTATGTATTTATTAGTGGCATGTGTGGTGGGTACAGTTTCTTATGCGTGTTGTTGGACGTGTTGCCCATGTGGTACACTCAGTGACATCATGCTGTCTAATACATCACGACTTGTTCATTCTTCAATCTACAGTCTTCAGATTACCTGATGAAGAGGCGCAAGTGCAAATATCTCAAGTCCAAACTAAGCCACATCAAGAAGATGGTCAGTGACTTTGACCACAGGGCCTGAACAGAATACCAACTGGACTCAGTCACACTTCCACTCCGTGGTTCCAGTGTTTAGGGGGCCAGAGCAGGAGTGGTCTACGTCAACCACAGGAACTACCCGCGTGCCTTTGAGCTTCGGAGTCTTTGCAAAGGTTGCTGGTGCTTTAGGACGACATGTAACACAAACATTCTGTCAAATTCAAACCTCTGTCTGTATAATGAGCCTCACACGAACAGACGGAAGTGTACATAGTTTTACCTCACTTAAAGTACGCTGAATAGAGTAGTTGAAGTAGTGGAGAAGTCCAGTTACTTCACTGAGTGGACATTATGCTGTAAATTGTTTTTTAAATTGATTTTAACCGTTGCTTAAAAATCTCTTTTTTAAATTCCTTTCTGTTTTTTAAATCCACATATATATGTAAATACATGAGGCATGCTTGTAGCATTTAATGGAAATACAGTGAGTGTCTCCGATGATTGTGCCTGTGATGACGATGACCATAAATACTGAGGTACTTTTATGTGATTTGTTTTTATTAAAATAAAAGTTTCTTGAAAGCTGTATTTTTGATATTGACTTGTCACAATGATAATCAGATTTCACTATTTATACACAAACACACATAGTGTATCACTAATGATTTGTTAGCGTGACACTAATGGAGTTCTTCATTCACCTAAATATTCATATACATTCTGTATTGATTGTGTTAATTCATGGACTTGTCAGCTGTTTTTATTTTTTTCAGGATTCCTCGGCTAAGATTCCTTGATCTTAAAACATCCCAGAACTGATCCAACATCTAGACCAAAATGACCTGCGGCAGACATTTTGGTAGGAGAAGCAGGTAAAACTACCTCAGTACTGTATATGCACATATTGTTAAGTACTTAGTAATAGTTGATGGAGTCTAGTCATACCAGATACAGTTACTAAAGGAAATGTATTTGTTTTATTACTTTGGTGTTTTTTTTTTTATAATACAGTATTTTCCACCTTAATTAGATCCTGGTACGTCCTGGATAAGACAAGCAAAGATTAACGTGTCCTTAAACAGTGAACTCCTGCGTCCTGTGAGCAAAACTACATTGACAATAGATTTAACAAGATGGCAGCGTTAGGAGTTTGAGCATTGTGGGTTTGACCAAAGTTCTGATTGGTCTGGACTGGGTGGCGGCGTCACCTATGACGGCCTCCTGGGATTGGACTGAACACTGCATCGGAGTTGAAACTCCTTCAGGTTAATGCCTCCAGAATGGCTGGAGAAACACTCGACGTTGTTGTTTAAATGCTGCAGAAGAGACAGTGCGCTGTTCAGTAAAGCCTACAACTCTGGAGCGGTGCTGTTAGTGAACCACATTCATATACCGTATGTAAGCGCACAATTGATATCATAACACAGACGACAGTGAAGTGCACAGATGGACAGACGTTCAGGCTGTGGTTTTAAACTGCTCTGTCTGCATCGAGTGTCTCCTCAGGAGCCTCCTCCTGCTCAGCTCCGTGGACTGTCCAGGAGGAGCGGAGGGGAGAAACCTCTCCCCGGGGAAACCCACTCCAGCCTTGGATCCAAAGGAGTAATTATTAGGGTTGGGGGCATTGAGGGTGCCGATGGACAGAGGCGGCAAAGACCTTGGCTTGGCCTGAGAGCTTTGCTCCAACAGGAAGGCGTCAGAACCTCTTCTGTTGAACCTGGACAGCACTTTGCTGTTTGGACCCAGGACGAAGGGAGGCTCCCTGGAGCACAGTGTACTGGAGCGGTGTAGTGGAGCCAGCTTCTTGTTCTCTGTGGGGATATGATGGGAGTAGCCGGCGAGTTGGGGGTCGGAGTTGTAGATGTCTGCACCCAGCTTGGTCCTCTGGAGGATACTGTGAAGGCTGGATGAAGCCGTACCGTGAGGTGAAAGGCTGTGGACCTTCGCACTAGACAGGCAGGAGAATGACGAGGAAGCTGCCAAGTCAGCTCCCAGGTTGACATGGTGGAGGTTAGGGTGTGAAGCTGAGTGGGTCGATAGGAGACCTGGCAAAGAGATCTTTTGTCTGCCGTGTTTGGTACTGTTTCCTTTACATTGTCTCTGAGCTCCTTTGTTACCGGCCAGTCTTTCCTCATCATCCTCGCAGCTGTCGATCTCTTTCTCTTGCGTGGACACTCTCAAAGGAACTTTTTCATTTGACGAAAGCGAGGCTGCGTGAGGAAGGGGAGTGGGGAGCTTCAGCCAGGGTTCAG